TGAACAAAATGGCAGAGGGGAAAGAACACAAATTTCGAGGCTTCCCGGAGGCTTCCCCGTACGCGTCTTTCGTATACTTTATGGCCCAGCTAAGGAAATGGCAATTTGTAATTGTATAAATTGCACCCGAGCCTGAATCCAGGTCTGCCCATTTGCACAATGTTCGAGATTTCGCCGTCAAGAGTAATCTATTAGACAACCCTCAACTGAAATATTTATTTATTATTTTTATTATATTTTGGGGGGTGGTCCGTAGAGGGAGTCCGTAGGGGGAGTCCGTGGACCGGTCCATAGGTAGTCCGCGGACCCGGTCCGTAGTGGGGGTCCGTGGACCGGGGGTCAGTCTTTTCGGGTTACCCCGAATAATTCTTCTAAGACGAATTAAAGGTCTAAGAGAAATACTTCGTCTAACGAAAATAATTCGTCTCAGACGAATAAAACCTCTAAAACGAATAATTCGTCTAAGACGGATAAAGCATCTCAGACGAATAATTCGTATCAGAAAATTAATTCCTCTCAGAGGAATAAAACGTATAAACATCTCAGACGAATAATTTTCTAACACGAATAAAACGTCTCAGACGAATAATTTGTCTCTAACGAATAAAACGTCTAAGAGGAATAAAACGTCAAAGGCGATGAATTAGTCTAAGACGAATAAAACGTCTTAGACGAATAATTCGGCACAGCACAGACGAATAATTCGTCTAAGATGAATAAAACGTCTGAGAGGAATAATTCTTCCCAGACGAATAAAACGTCTACGACGAATAATTCGCCTAAGACAAATAAAACGTCTTAGACGAATAATTCGCAGGAGACGAACTATTGGTCCAAGACTAACAATTCATCTAACGCCAGTACCGGACAGCGGTACACTAGTTATAGGCATGCGTGGCCTCGGGCGAATAAAAGGCCTACGAGGAAGAATTCTTCTAAGACCAATAAATCCTCTAAGACGAATAATTCGTCTAAGACAAATAAGTCGTCTACGACGAATAAAGCGTCTCAGACGAATAAAATGTCTAAGACGCATAATTCGTTCCAGACTAACTAAACGTCTCAGAAAAATAATTCGTCTCAGACGAATAAAACGTACAAGACGAATAATTCGTCTTAGACGAATAAAACATCTAAGACGAATAATTCGCCTAGGACGAATAATTCGTTTAAGACGAATAAAACGCCTAAGAGGAATAATTCGTCTAAGACCAATAAATCCTCTAATACGAATAATTCGTCTAAGACCAATAACTCGTCTACGACGAATAAAACGTCTTAGACGAA